TTTTTTCAAACAATCCTTTACCTAAATTTCAGGAAGTTTTTTTTTTTTTTTTTTGAGAGTGTGGAGATGTACGTAAATGTAACAATTTAACTGGAGGACTATGAAATATAACTGTAGTCATAGTGAGTGCAGTACTGTCACATGCTTGATTAAATTTACTATCTAGCTTTTTGCTGCTTTAGTAGAACCCTGAGGAGATTTTAATCCACAGATTGTTCACTGGAGTCTGCTATTTTGCCATTGTCACTTGTCTGGTTTTATTTTTGTGTGTGTGTGGATAATCAGTCATCTGTATTTCCCATGGGATCATAAGTCCTGTGAGATACTCNGTTGTTAGCGCACCCTACTTGTTAGCAGCTTGTTCCAGAATTGTGATGGACATTAGTATAGTAAAGGCTATTCAACTTTCTTTATCCAGTTTCTTCCATATTCCCATATTTATTTAAGCACAGGGAAACATTTTGAGGAACACAGTCAGAAATGCTGAACAAGACCAGGGGTGGCAAATATAGACTTTGTGGTGTCAACTCCAGCAATTCATTAGACGTGAAGGCCTGGAACACTCAATTCAAAGGATTCCAAAGCCACTTCTTGGCTTGGTTTGAGGTGTGCCGATTGATTAACAAGGTCTGCATCGGTTGGAAGAGGACTGTAATGTTACCATCCTTACTTGTAATTATCTATACATGCTTATTGGATTAATTATAAAGTATTCTTTTATCCCAGGATAAAAGAATGCTTCTCTCACCCTTTTGGTCTTTTGGAAGAGTGAGTATAGACAGATGGGAGAAGCAGACCAAGGATTGAGTCCTAGGATACTTGAACATCATAAGGTCAGGGAAGAACTGGTAACAGAGTGAGAAAGAGTTCTCAGTAAGACAGGAATTTTGGAGTAAGGTGTCCTAAGTCAGGGGAAGAAAGTGTCTCAAGGAGAAAGGAGTAATTAACTCTGTTAATGTTGCTGATAGGGCAAGTAAAAAAATCAAAAATTGACCACCGAATTTGATAAGTCATTGGTGACCTTTATGAGCAGTTTCAGTGGTGTGGTGGGTACAAGACCCTGATAGGAGAGAGTTCATGAGAGAGCTAGAGGAGAGGACAGCAGGTAGAGACTGTGAGTTTACAAAACTTACTTGAGTTTTGCCACAAAGGAAAGCAAAGAAATGGGATGGTAACTAGAAGAGGAAGTTTCGTTTTGAGCATTCTTTTCTGTCATTCATAGCATTTAGTCAGTGAGACAGTGCATAAATACAAATTTG